CAAGACGTGCAACAAGTGACTTTGACCAACTGAGAGGAGATGGAGCTTTCGCTTTGTGTCACAGCTGTTTACAGAGCTTGATCAGCAAATAAACGCTTATTTTTGGGATAAACGACAGACAGTGGTGAGTGCTGATTTTGGGTTGGGTTTTGTTTTTATTTATTAGTGTGCGAATCTCTGCTGTTCTAGAGGCATTTGGGCAACATGGTAGTAGGTGAAATAAAGTGTATTAAAACATTGAAATTAAAGTTTATAAACTTAAATGAGCAGCCAAACCGGTAATGTTCTTGTATTGTAAACCTAACAATATTATTAAACTGTGAAACTGTGTAAAACTATATTATTAAAAGTGCCTGGAGCATCTGTTAGGATGATTGTTTGGTATTAATTACGCAAACTATTAATTAGTATGCAGAAAGCAATTCAACAAAAAAATAAGTAAATAAATAAATACAACTTCTGGCTCAACCATATGCATATGTTTTAGATGCATAGAAATGGAACCCCCAAAATAAATAGTTGCATTATTCAACATGATTAGATTTGCAGTGTAGTGTAAACCAAAATGTAAATTAATTCACTTGCATTAAAAACATGAAATTAATCTGGGCAAACCGTATCGATGCAGTCTGCCTGATGTAAGTAAATGCGAAGGAAATTTCATTGTTAGATGGCTGAGTATTCCTGCTATCCCTCCTGACAGAGTTATGGTGTTTGCTCTGTCATCTAAAGATTGATTATCCATAAACCTTATTGTTGAACATTTTTTGTTGATGCTCTAGCTATAGCTGTTTTTGGTCTAGATTAGATTTAGTTGGTAGCAAGAGTTAAACTTAAGAGCGTTTCAAAAGAAAAACTCTGTTTTGAGTTTCCCTGGAAGAGGAATGCAGGTGGAGGCCTGGTTGTAAGAGTTGGCCCAGCCTGAGTTAGCTTCACTGTCAAAGCTACACATTTCCAGTGGGCACAATGAGAGGAAAGGAGCTACATTAACACCATTGAGTCCCTCTGCACATAGTACATGTGACACAGGAGCTGAAAGAGGCTATTGTGTCATATCCATTTTTCTGCAGCAGAGCTCTGTTCCTTGTGGATAAGGGGGCTTGCCGCTTTTTAGCTTGCCCTTATTGTTCTTTCTCATCCCACTCTATGGAGCTGGAAAGTTTGAGTCTCTTCTGCTCACTTGAGTGTCGGACGATGAGAAGAACTTTCTTTTTTGGCTTGTTTGTTTATGATGATGTGCTCGTTTGGTGTTTTTGTAGTAGTTTTTATTCTCAAGACTTTAGGTCTTCCAATCCTATGCTTTCAACCTGTAGGCTCTAGTGTCACCTTCATTCTTCATTGAACGGATTCTTTACTTGCTCATTGAAAATGAACCAATGCCGTCTTTGTTTTCTTCATTGTCAAGCCCTCAGGGATCTCACAGGTTGCATGCATCGTAATACACTGCATGCTTTGGTCATACCATTTGCTGTTGCAACAAAGACATCAATATGACTCATGCAATCTTTTGTTGGCTTTGAGGTGAAAGGATGTTATCAGTGGGGTCCAGAAGAAACTGATAATAGTCTGTTGCGTGGTGTGATGCCTGTAGTGGAGTGATAGTTTTGCAGCTTTGTGTTTTGCCATCCCTGAGGCACAATACTGTTGCTCATTGCGTATGTCACTGAAATTCTTTGGACGTGATGGCACTGTCAGACATAGTATGAGTGCAACTGGGTATTTTT